CTGAGGAATCGAACCCAGGGCCTCATGCATGCAAGGCAAGCGCTCTACCACTGAGCCACCTTCCCAGCCCCCCAAAAGAGAAACGTACATATTACCTGAATTGTGAAATGGTAACCTCTCGTACAACACCTTAATAATAACAAAATTATATGAAAAAAAAAACTATTCTGGCTGAGTGCTGGTGGCTGTAATACTAGCTACTCAGGAGGCTGAGCTCTGAGGATCACAGTTCAAAACCAGTCTAGGCAAGGAAGTCCGTGAGATTCTTATCTCCAATTATTCATCAAGAAGCTGGAAGTGAAGGTGTGGTTCAAGTGTAGAAAAAAAATGTCCTTTATCAAAAAAGCCAAGTGAGAGTACAGGCCCTGAGTTTAAGTCCCAGTATTGGCATAAAAAAATAAATATTCTAAGGCCCGGGGATGTAACTGACAGATCACTTGGCCTAGCATGTGGCAGGCTCTGGGTTCAATCTCTAGCACTAGAAAACTCCACATTCTAATCTGACCTGGACTCATTTTGCAGCAGAGTATCTGACCTAAACTTACATGAGGTTACTTAGAGCTATTCCATTGCTTTTAGTGACACTGTTCATATTTGTCATTGCAGAAATACTAATTTCTTTACAAAGTACTATTTTAGATGCTACTGAGATTGTTGCCTTGTATAGTGAGTAGACATTAGTTACCTTTCTAAACTCTAAAAAATTCTCAAACACATTTACCATCCAGATTTCCCACCCTATTTACTCATCAGTGTTGGCCTGAGTTCTTTTGGCTATTTGCATAAATCAGATCCACCTGCAGATAATGAATATTCATTGCAATGTGTGTTATTTAGATTCTGAAGGTGAGTCTCAATGTGTTTTGAGCTGTGTCCTCATTAGTAAAATAAAGTAACATGCTTCTTGAATTACTGTTTTGAAGTGACAGCACTCAATTGAGTGATGAAGTATGGTTTATTTATGGACAACGAGTCTCATTACTGTAGACCTCATTTACACATTTAGTAGTGGTCAGTGATTTCCTGGAATTAGTGCCCAAACCTAAAATTAGCCTTTTTATTCTTTTGTGCTAGTACTAGGGCTTCAACTCAGAGTCTCATATTCAAGGTTGGTGTTCTAGGGGCTGGGAAAGTGGCTCAGCAGTAGAGTGCTTGCCTCGCATGCATAAGGCCCTGGGTTCGATTCCTCAGCACCACACAAACAGGAAAAGCCAAAAGTGGCACTGTGGCTCAAGTGTTAGAGCACTGACCTAGCCTTGAGTTGACGAGCTCAGGGACAGTGCACAGACCTCGAGTTCAAGCCCCACAACTGACAAAAAAAAAAAAAGGTTGGTGTTCTTCTACTTGAGCCATACTTCCATTTCCTGCTTTTCTTGCTGGTTAATTAGAGATAAGAGTCTGATAGACTTTCCTGTCTAGGCTAGCTACAAACCTTGGTCTTTAGATCTCAGGCTCCTGAGTTGCTAGGATTACAGGCTTGGGCCACCAGCGCCCAGCTTTTGTGTGTGTGTGTGTGTGTGTGTTTGCCTCTAGTCAAAAATAAAGCAAAAGCTCTGAATGCTAAAAATAGGCAAGAGCACAAGGCTGAGTTTAAGCCCTAGTGTTCGAACACACAAAAAAGTATTTATCTAGAAGTTTTGCTACACTAACAGCTCCACTAAGATTCCAGAAAATCCAGTTGTACCTGAAATTACACTGAAACTGCTGATAACTATGAACTTCTGAGATTCTTATATTCTGAGATTCTTAATAAACTTAGTTTTTCAATATTTAATACTTGTAGTTGAGTATTTTTGCACATATAGCATATTGCCTGAATGAGACTGAGCTACATAAAAGTTAACTGCAAAGCAGATTATCTTTTCTCCTCTCTCTCTTTCTTTTCTGTCGTGGGTCTTGAACTTAGGGCCTGGGCACTGTCCCTGAGCTCTTTTGCTCAAGGATAGCTCTTTATCTCTTTGAGCCACAGTAGCTAATTGGAGATAAGGGTCTCACAGGCTTTCTTTCTTGGACTGGCGTTGAACCAGGATCCTTAGATTTGAGCCTCCTGAGTAGCTAGGATTACAGTTGTGAGCCACCAGTGTCCTGTTTGGCTTTATCTTTCACTTGTGACTTCTAAAATCCAATCAATTATGGAATTACAAATGCTGAAATATAGGCATAAACGAACATACTCTATATGTAAATAATGGTGCTGGGTATTTTTATGTTTAGTTTAGGATTTTTTTTTTTTTTTTGCTTGTCCTGGGGACCTGAACTCAGGGTCTGGGCAATGTCCCTGAGCTTCTTAGCACTGTACCACTTGAGCCACAGCGCCACTTCCAGCTTTTTCTGCTTATGCGGTGCTGAGGAATTGAACCCAGGACTTCATGCATGCGAGGCAAGCACTCTACCACTGAACCACATTCCCAGCCCCTGGAAAGGCTCTTTATCACGAAAACTTTGACAACTCCTGTTTTAAGTCCTTTATATCGGAGGACTACACTTGTCAATCGCCTTACTTAAAAAAATTCTCAAGTCAGGGCTCTATTCATAGATCTCAATAGTAAGTTTCCTATTACAAAGAGATTGTGGTTAAAAAGAAAACAGAGGGAACTTGAGACAGTTTCGATGGAAATACCAAGTTTAGTCTAGGAGGCCTCGCCCATTCTGATTTTCTATTGGTTAAGATGACCATCAATCGCCCGTGTTGTAAATAAACTGGGAACGGAAGCATGTTGGTTAAGGGGCGGAATCTTCCTGTCACCGTTGAAGAGGTGGGGCGAGAACTCGCTTCCTAATTGGCTGAAAACTGCTTCTCCCGCCCTCTCCCAATCAATTGCGAAGGGGAGGAACATCTAGGGCCCTGGGAGGAATCAACGCTCAAGGCCCCGCCTACTCACTTGAGCGTTAGGGGCGAGCTGTGCTGCCTATTGGCTGTTGGCGCTGCCTGTTCTGAGTTAGTTGCTGGGGAGAATCACGTGAGGAAGCGGCGGCGTGAGGAAACCATGGCGGGAGGAATGAAAGTGGCGGTCTTGCCGGCAGTTGGTCCTAGGCCCTTTTGGGACTGGGGGGCCGGGGGCGGTGGGGCTATGCGGCTGTTCTTGGTCCTCTTCGTCTTCTTGGTCTGCGGCTCAGGTACCAGCCGGGCGGCAACTGCCAACGGGGAGGGTGCCGAGGGTGTTCTTGGAAAAGTGGGGCTTATCCCGAGGGCGCGGCCCGTTACTCGGCCGAGGGTTGCGGGGACCTGGAGAAAGCAGCGTTGTTGTCTAGTGGGCGTGGGCTCTGAGGGGTCGGGTCTCCCGGATGGCCCCCCGAGAAAGGCGGACCCTGACGTCTTCCTGCTGTCACGGCAAGGGAGGCTTGGACTGGGTGAAAAGCAGGGCTGGGGGCTGCTGTCGCGCTGCTAGGGACCCCTCCAGGTTTTACCCGAGAGGAGGGAGATCTAGGGGGTCCTTCGGAGCCCGCGGGGCTGCCGTGGGAAAGGGGGCATCCCCTTCATTCTGCTAATCTTCAAAAACCTTTCAGCCTAGGCATGGGTTGAACTGATCATTAGAGGTTCTTAAAAATGAGGTGGTCTTTTACCACCTTCTAATCTTCTTCGTCTTTGACCTCAGCAGTCATGTAGGACGGACCTGGAATCATTAAAATCAAGTACCCTCCCCAACAACAACAAAACCCACCAGTGCCATTTAACATCGAATAGCTTTTCCTTGGAAATTTTATTCATTTTCTCACGTTTACTTGGTCTGTGCTACTTGGACAGTCAGCTTTGGACTGAGAAGGAAACATGTTTCTTCTCCAATCCAGAAAACTTAAAAATTGCGTTTGTAAGAGATACCTTTTTATCCCCATGTTAAACTCCACAGAAAAATAAGGGACATTTCCAAGCTTCCTCTGGAGGGAGCTGAAACTCGGGAGAATAAAGATAATCGTATCTTAAAAACAGACGTTACACACTCCACCTCTCATTTCTGTTCCTCCTATCTGGTGTCTCCATAGAATTATTCTTAGCTACAGCTTCAAGGTGGTCTCAGTATCCAGATAGCTAGTTCCAGAGCAAGTGCTCGGACATCTTCCACACACAGCCGCTTCTGCCCACCCTCCCCTTTCCCCCAGTAGGTGTCCTGGAAAGTAGTTTTCTGTGATGTAGGATCTAGAAGCCAAGTCTAACCTTAGAAGGCCCATTATTACCTGAATGACTTTGTTTGGGGGGTGGGTGGGTGTTACTGGGGCTTGAACTCGGTTTGGGAGCTTGCTAGGCAGTCACTCTCCTACCTGAGCCCCATCTCCAGCCGTCTGCATGAAAGTTTTATTTAGGTTTTTTTTTCTTTTGTGCTGGTACTGGGACTTGAAGTCAGGGTTTTATGCTCTCTCGTGGCTTTTTTGCTTGAGGCTGGTGTTGTACCACTTGAGCTGCAACTCAATTTGCAGCTTTTTTGGTGGTTAATTGGAGATAATGTTTTCTACAGGTTGAAAGATAATATGAATTGTAGCTACAATCATGTAACAAAGTTCTGTGACAAAAGAAATCATGTAACAAAATTATAAAAGTCAGGTACCCAAAGACAGAATGGAGGGTGTATTACTTCAAAAGGTAATGAGATCCTTCTCATTGAAAGTTTTTCGAAACATTTTATTTATTTTAAAAATTATGGATGTTTTCCTTGTCTGTAATCCTAGCTACTGAGGAAGCTGAGATCTAAGGATCACAGTTGGAAGCCTACCTGGCCAGGAAAGTTCATGAGACTCCTATACCTAATTAACCACCAGAAAACCCAAAGTGGAGCCATGGCTCAAAGTGGTAGAGCACTAGCTTTGATCAGAAAAGCTCAGTAACAATGCCTAGGCCCTTAGCTAAGAAAAAAAAAAAAGTTTAAGTTAAGCAACTATAAGTAAATATAAAAAAGTAGGCAAAAACCTGTATGTTTACTCCATTTAGAACTAGTCTATTTTAGCACATTTTCTTCTCTTTTCCACATGATTTTTTTTTTTTTTGGGGTCCGGTCATGAGGCCTGAACTCCGGGCCTGGGCGCTGTCCCTCAGCTCTTCAGCTCAAAGCTAGTGCTCTACC